TCGACTGTCTGATTTTTTTTTAATAAAGGGTTAGAGCATGAATCCGGTTTCTTTATTGCCACACCTTGTATAATAGGCTTAAACTTGGCGGTAAGTGAGCTTACAACCGTTCAAGTGACCAAGCTGTCGTTGTAGTATAAGATACGTAAAATATGCATGATCTGGTTTGCAAAGTCTGGACTGACAGAGGACTTGTATATAGTGCAAAGCAAGAGTTTTCAACAACATGTTATATGTGCCATACGTACACTTGACAAAAGACCAAGCATATTCATGAGAAACAAACTCATCTTCTTGTCGGGAGGATGTTACGTAAGGACTATGACCGCAAGCTTTCAGTTGAAAAAAAATATATATATATATATATGGTCGTGAGTCTCAAGGGGCTTGACGCCATTTGACTTTGACTTGGTGCTGGTGTCAGGAGGTAGGGAGTAGCTCTATTGATTGGACCTAAATGAGTAGGTTCCACCTGAAGACGAAGACAGAATCCAGATCCCAAATAATTGTGTGTCTTAAATAAAAACAAGAGGATGGCTTCCAGCCGCGGAGGCCCGGGTTCGAGCCCGGGTCTGGTCGTGTGGGATTTGTGGTGGAAAAAGTGGTGCTACGGCAGTTTTTCTCCGACAACCTCGGTTCTCCCTACTAATTCTCATTCCACCATCTGCTCCATAGTCATCATCATCGGTCCATCGGAGGCTTGTACAATAGGCCAAACAGTGTCCGCAATACCAAGCGGACTCAGTCCCACCCGGTCCCACCCCACTAAGAATGAAAAAGTGTATTGACTGGATTCAATTGACTGCAAACAGTGTTCAGTGGCGAGTAATGAACTTTCATGTTCCATGGAAGGCAAACAATTTCTTGACCAGCTGAATGACCATGAGCTCTAGGAAAACTTCGCACAGTGGGATGTGATAGTAGGTAATGGTTAACACAATGGAAGACTGGACTTGTAAAATGCATGCAACTAATGAGGGTAACCGAAAGAAAATTTTCACATAATTTATGATTTGGATTTCATGACGCATTGCATATTCAAAAAGGGTGCTACAACACGCGTTTCTGGTACTGGTAACTTGGACGTTGCTACAATATGCCGATATTATTATCAAAGCCGAATAATACTGATTTGGAGTTCTCAAACTAAAAACAAGGTAAATAAAAATGCATGCCGATTCACTGCTCTCAGCTAAAATAATGGTTAAGGGCTTTAAACGTTGTCGGTTCAACTTAAATAGCTTACCAAGCACGCTGCTTTGAGATTCTAAAGTTGGTTGCTCTGATGCAGTTACATGGGTGCCAATATTATTCTCATGAGCTGTATCATGCTGATACGCAGTTCACAATTTGTAAAAATGGATGACTGTTGGAGATTCGAGATAAACAAACGTGTGATAGGGTGATTGTTATGTAAACATATTACGAAATAAGTGTGAAAATGGTCATAAGCTAGTGGTTCTTGTCTGGTATAAGACGTCGTCATTCAGGAGGCTGAGGTAACAACGTGTGTGCGTGACGAAATTTGTGTGTCAGGTGTAATTATATTGTAAGCAATGTTTTCGAAGACGTTATGTAAGGCCCTACGGGGAGGAGTGAATTCTTTCCACATAAAAGATGCGTTGAAATGCCATGTGAATAACAGTCCGAATATTTTACGACATCATCATTGCATGATGTTGCCAGAAAGTATTTCACAGTCTCCAGATTTCTTCTTCCGACAGGTAGGTCATGTCACATGTCACGTAATACTGAGAGCACGTGTACTGACGCTCCAGTCTTTTATTTTGTGTGCGCGACCGTGTGTGTATGGATTCATCTGGCTCAGGACATGGTTATATATGAAAGAAGAGAGAGCGTTTGGGTGTCGTGCATTTCCAAACCGTTGCATTTGTACAAAATTTGTTACGGTGGTAGAGGACCTCGCGAGGGAGCAGACTCTTTGTCCCCTCCCCAAATTTGGAAAACACCCCAAAAAGGAATTGTTTACTTGTTGCTTGAGAACCGTCTGTCATAGCATATTTTACGTTGTATATGGCTTAGAAAAACAAATTCCACGCTTACTCTATATTTTAAAAATTTGCAAAATGGTAAGGATTTTATTTGTGATGGGTTACTTAATTCCCTTAGAATATTAGAATTTTATAGCAGTATCGACGAGAGCAACATTATAACGTTTCAGTGTATTGCAATTCTAATTACATGTCTGCATTACGCCTGTGAGATACAGGGCATTTGGATTTCTGACATAGTTGATGACATGATTAATATCAGTATATTTCAGTACATGCCGTACATATTTGCCTGCTTTTGTATGTTATTTTGTTTGAATTTCGAAACTGCTTGTCCCAGTCCAGAATTTTGGAATGTCTGGAAGGAACTCCCCTTTGGGGTTTGTTATGCAGATAACATGGTAAACATGTATGTGGACCAATTTGTTTATGTTTTTCATAAACATCAAGATTTCTGTAAGGCATGCTGTAGCGTATTTGGTTGAGGCTCTATGCTGCGAGCCAGAAGGTCACATTGATACTCATTGATTCCCAGTGAGGTCATTGGAATTTTTTTTTTATTCAATTTACCTAATCCTTCCAGCCACACTATGGGCCTGGGGTTTACTCAGCTTCTAATAGAAATGAGTACCAAGAATCTTCCTGGGGGTAAAGGACAGCCATTGCATTAGGCTGACAACCTCACAGCAGTCTGTGAGCTGATCGTCTAGATGTCTAACAACCCTATGGGCCTCAACGACCCGTTACAGGGATAGCTTTACCCCCCCTCCCTTTGTTTGGGGGGGGATAATGTTGGGCTGAATATGATACTGGATCAAATTTAATTTTGGTATATGTTGGGTTGGGTCCAAAGGGGATGTAAAAGGATTAATGAAAATCTGAGGCCTAACTGTAATGACTGTGAACTGGTCATAATTTTATTTTAAATTACAGGAAAAATATAAAATTTGTATTTTAATTAATTCCTGTGCTCCATGCAGCTTTTTGACAATGAAAGCAGCACTTACACGTACCTTTTGGCCGACACCACCACGAAGGAAGCCATCATAATTGACCCAGTACTTGAACTTGCTGAGAGGGATGCACAGCTTATTAGAGATTTGGGATTAACTTTGAAGTATGCAAGTAAGTAAAAGCTGATGGATTTTGAACCCGCTAGATACAATGTGGTAATTTTCTCATTGTTGTTATCCCGGTGCTACCAGATTTTCTGAGAAGTAGTGGGTCCAGAACAGGGTCCACTCAGCCTCATGAGGATAATTGAGGACCTGTTTCAAAGAAATAGCAGCTCCGGTCTAGAAAACTGAGATTAACAGCCTTGGGGATCTGCTGTGCTGACCACATGACACCCTCTATCTGCAAAAGTTGGCACTAACTTTGCTGACAAGTGGCGGTCGCTCTGTCAGTATAATTCACTTGTGGACTACAGGCTACGAAGTTTGTTTTTGTTTGTTTTTTCATTATCCTTCATAATAACCAAAATTCACTAACACACATGTTTAGGTTTATGTCGTTTTGTTCCTGTGGAAAGTCCCTCGATTCTTATGATGAGTTACAGTAGTATATATTTAGGATGTTGATCTCTTGAGTATGAACTTGTGTGATCTTGTATGTTTAAAAGTGTCTTGCTTCAACTTTCTCACATTCTGAATACCTTCCTATGGATGTGTTTAGAATGTATCTTGAAGTGTATATTCATTGCAATGGAATCCTGATTTAATACCTTGATCTAAAATGTTCATCTTGATGTTCAATTTCTGAAATCCCACCCACATTAAATATTAATCCATGAATTAGATTCCATATGGAGGAGCTAATATTTGCTCATGTGATCATTAATTTCCCAGAATTGTATAGAACTGGAAGGTTCTTACCACATTCACAAGAGTCCGCAATTGGTCACTGTCCTGAACCATATTAATCCACTCCTCACTCTCCCATTGTATTTAAGATCTGTTTTAATATCCTCCCATCTATGCAGAAGTCTTCCAGGTGATATCCTCCCTTTAGGTTTTTGTGTCAAAACTTTGTATGCATTTGTTTTCTCCCAAATATGCTGCAGGCCACACAAATCTCATGTCACCCGTGGTTTGATCATCCGAATAGCATTTGGACAAGGAGGGCAAATTGTGCACCTCCTCATTATACAGTTTTATCCATCCTTCTGTTACTTCCTTGCTGTTAGGTCTAAATATTCTCCTCAGCACTCAGTTCCAAGATACCCCCAGTAGCCACATTATCGTATATCAGCATTAAATTCTATCCTTTTAAAATTTCCTTCAGTTTAGTGTCCAGATTCACAGCATCTCTTCCGCTAGCCTTGAATCACTAAAATGGGATTCTGACATGTATTTTATATATTTTTCTTAACATACATAAAATTGTTTTACTTCTGTTTTATTTCTTTCATGATTTTCGACATATCTAAACTGTTTTTCATCAAATGAAAATAGTTCTACAATTGAAACTGCAGAAAGAATGGAAATATTTTGAAAGTGATATAATGATAAAAACTCCGTCTCAAGTGCAAACAATATATTTTGTGTCTTTGATCTTGTTCCCCTACACTACATGTTTCGGCCTCAGACGGCCATCATCAGGTGTATAACACTCACGTCGCTGTCACACTGCACCCAGCTCAAAATTTAACATTTAAAAATACTTTCCTTGTTATTATCAACTTCTACTTCGTTGATAACTGTCTGGTTTGTAGATTATTTTATCTTACACACGTTAATTTTGACTTTGTTGTAATAGCACTATAATAAAATCTTTAGTTCTAATTTTAAAAACCTTTAAAATTCTTTCCTAAATTTTAAAATTTTTAAAATACCCATTCTGTTACTCTAACTCCTTTGTTTTGAAGAAATGGGTCAGAGTATGTAACCATATATGTCGTGAAATGGATGGTGTGCTATTTTGAGGCAATGCTGTTGATGTACAGTGAACACCCACATGCATGCAGACCATGTGACTGGCACTGGGTTGCTCAAAAAGCTGCTGCCGGGCTCGAAGAGCCTCATCTCGAAGTCCAGTGGAGCACAAGCTGATATTTATGTTGAGGAGGGCGTTGATATTCAGTTTGGGCGTCATCGACTTTCAGTGAGAGCCACGCCAGGACACACAAATGGTACACAAGCTGTGTTGTTCTTAAACATTTAGGTATCTCATCATATATCGAATCAAAAATATTTTTAAGAAATATATTTTGAATCAAGACAAAATGATTTGTGTCATCTATGTGGTTATTTTAGTACAGGTAGTAATTTTCATTAGAAGATCACTGTCTTGTGGAATATGCCTTTTAGTCTAATATGTTGACATTTTGAAGGAATACACTGCTTCTATCTTCTCTCAATACATACACATGGCATGTTTCTACCCTGTATGTCTATATGTGCCAGACTGTACTGTATCACTTGTTAGAAGGCAATAATCTTCATAGACATTGCTGTGAGAACATCAAATCTCACAGACTTCATTTTCTTTGAATTTTCTGTTCCTCCAGTCTGATATTTAGTTATGTTTGCTGTTCACTAAATAATCGTGCAATGAACCATATAGCAGGTCCACAAGATATGTTCCGTGTTTCAGAGTATTATATATTCATAATGATGGTATATCAAAACCTGAATTGATGACACACACACTTAGAATTTACATTAGTAAAGTTACATGTTTGCGTCTTTTGTAATGAGGCAGATACTGTCACCAAGTTCTGTCTTGGGCCAAACACCTTTTTGGAACATTGACCTGTGTACTAATCAGGATGGTGTAGTAATAATGCTTTGGACTTGTATTTGGCAGGTACTCAGTTGAAATCTCAGTTAAGACACTGGCAATCCTGACTGGGGTTTTCTGTGTTTTTCCCACAGCCCCTATAAGCAAATTCAAATATAGCATGTTGATTATGCCACAGTTGCTTCCACCCAAACCCCTTCAAGTTCATCATCGATCCAACTGTTTGACACTATATAGTCTAATTACTAACAGTATCATAAAATACACTATAAATGAGGGGACCTACATTGTGAAATCTAACATCACTGATTGCTTTTTATAATTACAGTTCCCTTGGTAGCTAATGTGATAATTGAAATTACAAAATATACTGCAAAACAAGTGACCTGTTTAGCAAAATCTTACATTACTTAATGCATCTTATAATTCCAGTTCACTTGGTAACTAATGCCATAATTCAAATTACAGAATGTACTACAAAAGGTAACCTTTTTAGTGAAATATAACTTTACTGACTGCATTTTATAAGTCCAGTTCTCTTGGTAACTAAAGCAGTAATTAAAATTACAGTCTTCAGGGATATGATGTCATGTAGTTTGGCCTACAGGTACCAGCATTTTGGAGGGACCTGCTGCCTCTCTTTTTAAGGCAGAAGAGTGTTCTTCCAAAACATTGTTATACATCTACCAAACTGCACGGAGTCACATCCCAGAAGACTATGCCCTAGACATCTCTGTGATAACTTCAAATCATGTATAATGCAATAATAATTTAAAATGGATTTTAGCGGCTTTCTAATTGCCACCATATTAGACTGAGCCCCTACTTCTTAAAACCTTCACACTTTTTTGTTTTTATATTACCTGTACAAATTAACATATTGGAAATTATTTTGCAGTGGAATGCAAACAGATTAATTCTCAGTAAGCAGTATAAACATTAAAACATACGTCATAACATCATATACAGTAAAACTTGGTTATAGCAACATCGGTTTCTGTGACACCTTGTCTATTGCGTCAAATATTCAATGGTACGAACTAATTCCTCATAAAGCAACTGTTTTTATACCTTGCTTAGTACGACATGCACAAATGCATCAACCTCGTATGTAACGTCATTTTCATTCCTGAATTTCTCTGATATGGACATTGAACGTAATTTAGAAAGTGTGTATTGGGCAAGTAACAGGAAACAGATGAAGATAACTGATTACTGTACTCGTATCTAGGTACAGTAAGGCACAACAATTGATGTAATCTACTGTAATTTGGTGAGTAGGCCTACCTTTAATATACAGTATTAGTGCGGTGTGTATTGTCAGTGAAAAGCGCTGTAATATGTCTTTGATATTACACATTTGGGCAATTCCACGTTAATGTTACGTTAGTCTGTACTTAACTACGTATTTCACTAAAATATGCAACATTTTAATTCGGTTTTTGGTAGATTTTTGCGTGACTAACATAAGGCTACTGTGGAAGTGCCCATTTCGGTTACAACGACATTCGTTTATAACGACACTATTTTCAGGTCCCTTTGATGACGTTATAACCAAGTTCTACTGTACTTTGTTGTCTACCTCAAGGTGATTTCTCTTCTGTCTCTTTATTTTTTATTCTTTTTTTCTCTTCTCCTTGCTCTTCTGTCCCCTCCTTATTGTTATGCCATTAATTTACTGATGTTCCCATTATGCTCTATATCTGTATAAATACACTACCAAAACACTCATAAGTTATGAAGCTGCCACAAATAAAAACTCTTACAAATATATTTTATCTGGTATAAAGATAAATTGTAGCTGTTATGATTGTACTCTTGGTTATGAGACTGTAGTTTGGTAGGCGATTATCAGTGTTTTGGAAGAATCGTACATATCCATCTTCAGGGTACAGGAAGGATAGTCACAAATTGGAAGCATTATGCTCCTCTGAAACATATGTAACCACTTATGAGACTGTACCACCATGGAAACCACAGATATTATGAAATTTTAATTGTGTTTGCTTGATAGTATAATAGATGAGGTCTTGTTCAAGAATAAAATGTCAGTATTATCATACACATAAAGAAACAAGTAAGTAAAACTCAAATCTCAGAATACAAATTTCTTAATATCATCTCAGAAATGCAAAAATAGTGTAACACTCATTGAGAAGTCAGTGAGAAATCTCATCATTTGTTACATAACCTTTTGTACTATTAACATCCCCAGCTTTCTCCCATATTCCTTTCTAGTCCTGTGTGTTACAAATGCCATCTCATACAAATAACACACACAAATAGTTGATCTTAAACATTCTCCTTTATATAGTATAGTATTATTTCACATATCTACATGAAAATATTATCAGTACTTGCAGCATAGACACAATACTTTAAAACAAAAGACTGCTCATTTCTTCATGACCTTTTGAGACAAGTCAGCTTTGAGATGTTGAAGTTAGTCTCAAGAATATATCCAGATGCAGTGTTGAACTTCATTACATTGGTAGTTTGAACATATTCTCACAATTTGTAATCTCCATATAATATTGCGGTCAAAATATTATTAACATTTCTTGTTAACAGGTTGTGTGACATACGTGAGTCATGAACAAGGTGTAGCCTTCACTGGTGATGCACTGCTCATCAGGGGCTGTGGTCGCACTGACTTCCAGGAAGGAAATTCCAAAACACTGTACAACTCTGTCCATAGTCAGATTTTTACGCTTCCAGATAGCTTTAAGCTCTATCCTGCACATGACTACAAAGGTTAGTTGAAAGACGAATTTGAGCTTCACACTGTTGTAACTGTAACTGGCATGTGACACTGTATGGTTTGGTAGATAGTTACCAGTGCAGTGGGGGAATCTGCTGCCCCCAGCTGCAGGATAGGAGAGTAAGCCAAGTATGGAAATGATACACATACAGGAAAGAAGGACTGGAACTGTGGACAGACCAGTAGGAAATGATGCCACTAAGAAATGAGAACTATACTGAGGGAAGAATATTCAAGGGGTGCAGGGGAATGTAGGAGGGACAGAATGTAGGTGAGAAGATGAACAGCAGTAGAAATAAAATAGATAACAAGAACAGAATTCAGTGAATACATAGGGTGGAGTAAAAGTTTCCTCCGTGCTTAATTAAACACTGGCCATGAAGACACATGGGAGTGAAGGTATAGCTCCACCATTCTTGACCTCTGCCTTAGATGGAGGTGAGTGGTCAGCTTCATCCATCAGCTATTTTAATCCCCTAGTACCCACTGGACAAGAGGCTGGGTGGCCTTCACATCTGGTCTGGACACTTTGAAGAAGAGAAAAGTCTCTTGCCCCTCCCAGGAGTCAAACCCCAGCCATCCATTTTGTAGCCTCTCGGTGTGCCAGTTGAGTTACCCTGACTGCATGGGGTGAAATAAGTTAATAAAAAATAATGTAAAACTAAAGTGACAGATGTTCAAGGCAAAGCTTCAGAGAACAAACAGCAGGAAAACATAAACTAAACAAGAATGAAGTAGTGAATGGGGAATTAAATTAACCAGTGTAGATGTGTGGGGGGAGGAGCTGGGATAGCGCAGTTGGTTTAGTGACTGGATGGGCTGGAATACCAAGGGGTCGGAGTTCAAGTCCTGGTAGGATCAAGAAATTCCTCTTCTACACTTCATCCAGACCAGTTCTGGGGCCCACCCAGTCTCCTTTCCAATGTGTACTGGGGGCTCTTTCCCCGGGGGATAAAGATGTCAGGGCATGAAGCTGACTACTCACCTTGAACTAGTGCCAAGGCCAAGAAAACATGGATCTATACATCCACCCCGCCAAGTGCCTTAATGTGCAATGCTTAATTAGTTAAACATTGGCAACTTTACCTTTAGACGTGTGGTGAGAGGAAGGGACAAACCAAAGCTGTTGTCTTCAGTGCCCATAATGCTGGTCATCCTTCCCTATAGCAGAACAGCTTTCTTACATGCTCATCTTACATCTCCACCATGTTAATACAGGCAGAAAATTGTTCCAAAACATTGGCAGTGTTCTGCTAGATTTATTGATAAAAGTTTCAGATGGCAGTAATCTCCATGGTACATTGCCTCAGTTATCAAACTGTAAAAGATTTGGTAAATATCATTCACCGTCTGTTTTAAATTACTGTCCCAGAATTTGTTGGGAAGAACTGAGGAAAACTATGAAATACCTTAAGATAGCAAGCTTCTGGGTTGAGAGTTGAACTGAGGATCTTCTCAATATAAAACATGAAAGCCAGGTAAGCTACCCCATTCAGTACCATTCATATCACACTATAATTTCCCAATGTTATATTTTAGCGTCCTGTTGCACTGATTTAAGTCCATGATTTATTTAATCCGTCTTGCAGTGCATACACTCATTTATCTTCTTCTCTCCCTCGCACATACCCAGGAAGCCCAACAGTATAACACACGCAGTCGCAGGAGCACGACACAACAAAAGCATAACACACAAGATAATGAAGGAGTGCTCCAACAAAGGAGAATGGGCGTGACTGACGTAGTGAGGGGCGACGTAGCGATGTGGTATCCTGAACAATTTTAATATTTTTAACGTTTGACAATGTATATGATAGATACATATTTTAGTTATTTTAATGTGTGAACATGGCATGCAATGAACTGGTTTGACGTGGATAAGTAAGCACCTGAAGATGGCATTATTATGCCGAAACATGTAGTGCGAGGGAGAGAAGAAGATAAATGAGTGTATGCACTGCAAGACGGATTAAATAAATCATGGACTATAATTTCCCACCTGATACTAAATAACTCTCATATTTGATACAGCATTATGTATTAATTATGCAAGAAACAGGCAGTCAGCAAACTAAACTTATTAGGGCAGGATGTTCTGACACTGTGTTGCATGCAACACGCTATTTCTGCCTTTGCTTTTAACCTTCAGTTAGGATAGTGACTAAATAAGGCATGATGTAAGATGTTTCTAACATCTTAAGTTGGTTTTAGGTGTTGTTTGATGTTTTCATGAGACATGGTTGCAGTTACTAATTTCCCTTTCATTAGTGTTGGACACATTCATGATGAATGCTGGATTTCCTGTAAGCTGTTGACATGATCTGAGTACAGAATGATGTCAGGAGCCAGTATAGTGACAAGGCTAGGACAGCTGAAGAACTGGGATTCAATTCCAAGCAGAAGCAAGAGATTTTTCTTTCACAGTTTCCAGACTAAACTGTGGAACGCACCCAGCCCCGTGTCCAGTGACTACCATGCCCTTTCCCTGGGGATCAAGCTTCTGGGATGTGAAGACAACCACTCGCCTTCATCAAGTATAGAGGTTAAGAATGTAGGGAGCTATACCTCCATTCCCCACACATCATGCCCTGGTGCTTAATTAAGCACTGGGATGACTTAATCTCTTCCTAACAGGAAGATGTGTCATAATTTACTCTTTAATTAGAAGCTACAGTGCTCATTTGAAGACAGTGATTATTTTAGCTGCCATCTCCTTCATTTTCTCCTAGCCTTTCCAAGGCACAGTCCTTGAAGTATGCCAGAGTTCATTCCTGTGTTGATCAGATGTCAGTGTGCCACATGGAAGGCGGTGCATTTAAGTTTGAACTGTGGTCGAACATGGTCTGTGCAAATAGATGACAGGACCAAGAATTTAGTTGCATCTTCTTTATATCTCTCATCTTTACATGAGAATCTTATGCATTTCTATAGTCCTTTTTGCTGCTATAATAAAGAAGGAAGATGAATGGTACTGTCTCTTAGAATATGACACCATTTAATCCAGTAGATGTTAACAGACGTTTTGGAGAATCATATGGCTCAATGTTATAGGTTGAAAAGTAACCAGCAAGAAACATGTGGCAAGCTGTGCTGGAGGCAGCTTATTCTGCCAAAATGCTTATGAACTTCTGGATTACACGTCACATCCCAGCAGACAGTTCGACTCATAGTCTCCACTATGAGAACCTCAAATCTGGCAAAGAAATAAGTTGTTTATTTATGACTATAGTTTTGCTGCAGGGCTCACTTGGACAGTGAGTGATAGTGATGTACTTGAAGCCCAGTAACAGTTGGCCACATTGTTTATAGAGACTGAATGTGTTTCGTTGGAATTCTGATTCCATGCCAATAAACATGCATTCATATGAAGAGAGCATTCAGAACTTCAAACTAAATATGGGCTGTGACTCAGAAACATCCAAGCTGCAGAGTTCATTTTGAGCAGATGCTGCCTTTCTGATTATGTTCAACTCAAATTGTGTTGCTTTGTTTTCTCTTTCCATTTTATAGTTATGTGTAATAATGTTGGTGTGATTAAATTGTTCTATTCATTTGTTTAAAATTCCAAATTTATATTGCTTTACTTGACACATGTTTTGAAGGATTTTACTCTGAATCTCTTATCATGTATAACTTTTCTGTAATTCTGCTTAAGCACATAAAGAGACAAGAGTGAAATTTTGATAAAGGGAATGATGAACTCAAGAAAATTTCAAATCTGGAAAATATTGTTTGTTCTCAACCATTTCCCCATACACAGATGGAAAGTTAACGTGAAAATGAATCGGAGAAACGAAGTTTGAAGCCATGGACCAGATTTAACAGGCTGATGAAAATGTTCGCTTTTAGGCTTACATAAACAAGTCCATGATTTATGCTAACCATCTTACAGTGTACACACTTTATCACCTTACTCTTCTCTTTTGCACTACATGTTTCAGCACTAATATGCCATCTTCAGGTGCATTTTCTCTATGCACATCTTAACTACTGCATTGCATGCACCTGAAGATGGCACATTAGTACTGAAACATGTAGTGCAAAAGAGAAGAGTAAGGTGATAGAGTGTGTGCACTGTAAGACGGTTAGCATAAATCGTGGACATGAGTCAGTGCAACAGGATGCTAAAATATAACATTACATAAAGAAGGTGTTGAATCTCCATACCCAATAACAGTATGGAATTTCTTGAGTGACTGTAACTATTTTGGGGGGGGGATGAAATGGGCCCGGTATGTCACACACATGGGGGCAGAGAAGAATGCATACAGGGTTTTGGTGGGAAAACCAGAAAGAAAGAGATCTCTCAGAAGATATTGTTGCGTGTTGGGTGTATAACGTGACAGATAACTTCACGCCATGCTGATTATAGCAAATTTTATTTCACATTCGCTCTTACAATCACGCAGTTTACAGATTCAACATTACTGCCATTGGCAGTATCACAAATACTGGACTGCAGTCAACTGGTGACTGACTCACTGCTGGCTAACTCGTAACTGCTGTGAATAGTTTTCGCTGCTCCTTATTTAGCCTCGTTCTGGACAACACAGAAAACAGCCACATAATAGGCGCCGTGTTGCTAGCAACGCTGTTGGGAATTGTTTACTGCTGCCTAGCAACCGTGGCATCCCTTGACCACATCACCGCTGGCGGGGAAGGGGAGGGAGTGTTGACTCAACTATTCCCCTAGTAATGACAGTGCTCTGATGATGTTACGTCACCGCTGGCAGGGGGAGGGGTGTCCTGCATAGCGCAACACGTCACAATATCAACATAGGTGGGAGGATAATATTTAAATGGATCGTAGAGAAATAGGATGGACTGTTAGCAGGTTCTTGTGAGTATGATGAGTGACCTTCGGGTTCCACAAAATGTTTGGAAATGCTTCAGTAAGTGCGGGACTGGCAGCTTCCCAAGAAGGATTCAACTCCATGGAGTGAGTGAGTTACAAAGTTGAACAGCATCTTCCTCCACTTTCCATGCCAAACTCGTGTGTCCATTTCTTGGTGTCTTGTTTACTCCAGCTCAGCAAAGTCATCCTCATCATAACCTTCTTGATTTAACTACTGTTACACTACTAGGAGGACAGTACATATCCTGGTGTTGCATCGAGGTCCCATTTACCTCAGGACAGCTTGTTTTGCCTCTTATAGACATAACCTTTTCCATGTGCTTAATTAAGCACTGCACCATGAAGATATAGGGGGAAGTGGAGACATAACTCCATGCATTTATAACCTTTGCACTGCAAGGAGGTGAGTGGTCAGCTTCACACCACTCCACTTTAACTCTGGGATAGAGCCTTTGGTACACATTAGATGAAGGAGTTTGGGAGGTTTTTGGAACTGGTCTGGACATTGTAGAGAAGAGGAACATCTCTTTCCCCATTCAGGAATTGAACCCTGATTACTTGCTTGTCCAGCCCATAACCTAGTCCCTACACCAACTGAGATATCCCTTTTCATAGATGTAATATATCAGTCATTGTGGCAGAGCGCTAATGCTCTTCTCAGTTACGAATTCTAGCTGTCATGAGTTGGGATTTTGATTGTTTTCTCCAGTCCCTCCAAGTGAATGCTGGGGCAGTACAATAAATTAAGATGAAAATTGGTACTCTCTTGTTACTTAATCTCCTGGCTAACAAATTAAGTAATATTCTACTACTGAAAATTCCTTATAGCTAAAAATAAGAACAGAGTGTGTGATAGCTCAGTTGATGGAGCAACTAGGCTACTGGTTGGACAGATGAATGAGGTTTCCAGTCCCAACATTTTTCTTTTCTTCACAGCATTAAAACTGGTTATAGAACTCACCCAGCCTCACATCTAATGGTACTGGGGGCTCTTTCCTCAGAGGTAAAGTGGCTAGGGTATGAAGCTGACCATTCACTTCCATCTAGTGCCAAGGTTTAGAATATGTGGTGTTATACCTCCACTGTTCCATGGTTCTTCAAGGTTTCATGCTTAATTTAGTCAAAGGACAAATTTACATTCTTATAAAAATAAGAACTTCCTGTAGTCTGTTTCATTCAGTGCGTGAAGTTTGCGTTGCCTAACTGCATGGAAGTAGGGACATGAAATTATACGACCATTATCTCTGACTGTTATAGGTCAAACCACCACAACAGTTGGAGAAGAGAAGCATTACAACCCACGGCTCACCAAACCACTGGATGAATTCATCAAAATAATGGAGAATCTTAACTTACCTTATCCAAAAATGATTGGTAAGTTGGAAGTTGTTTTTGCTCAATTGTTATGGAGAAATAAAGGAAATGTATGTGGAGATCGCAGGTTCCTCCAAAATGTTAGTAATTACACACAAGATTAAGTCAAATCACAGTCCAGAAGACCTCAGTTTAAACCTTCACACTACTGTGAAGGCAGCAAAATTCAGAAGTTTCATATTGTCTGACAAGTAAGCTTTACATTAGAGATTTTTATATTTTTATTTTCATTGTGAAAATATAGAACTCATGCCATCTGTTGTTCCTGTATGGGAACTACTAGTAGAGAAGTCAGAGAATGTAAAGGATAATGTTATAACACTCAGGATATGATCATAATGTGATTGCAAATTTATAAATTTGGTGCCAGCAGGTTTTAGACAGTGAATCTCTAAGAAAATCATGATATGAGAAGACTTCTAATATAAGATATAGAAGGTTTAAGAGTCTCTCCCAGAGACATAACTATTCTGTTCCCCCCCCCAATTTCTAGTAACTGAGAGGAGTACTCTGTTCCTTTCATATCCATGTTAATGTAAATTGTTTGTATGTCCTTTTATGTGTTTGCAGATAGGGCTGTGCCTGCTAACAGAGTCTGTGGCCTGCATGACCTACCTTGAGCAGTTCTGCTGTCAGATGAGTTCTGTAGAAGTGCAGTATTTGTCAGAATTACTGTCACATGTATCTGTCATTTCATACCAAGTATACCATTTTTATAAATTTATATATTTTTGTTACTGTAGTGTATGATTTATATGTATAATAGGAAATGGTTTATGATTCACTCTGTGTGCTATTTATGGGATGTGGGGCACAATTACCTTAGTGTCTGACAGACAGCAATAATTGTCAGCCCGAACTCATCATTTGATAACACGTGTAGAATGGCAAAGAAATGTGGGAGAAAGAAGGGGAACATAGAAGTAGAGAAATTATGTAACTAATGAAAGGACTTGCCATTGGATTTGTGCTAGGCCTTTTCCACTAGTACATCTTAGTATTATGGCACTGAGATTTTTATAGAACTCGGTTAGAGTCTTATGTAAAATTCTGTTCATATCTTTTATTTGACTTGTGTATGAAATGTAGCAGTTTAGAGATGGTATTAGCCATAAAATTGTTTCATTCCTAAGTACAGAAATAACATTCTTGTCACATTCTGTACCATGTACAAGTACTGGGATTTCACCTCCTGCATATCAGTTCTTCCATGAAATCTGGATTTTGATCTTACTGCATTCAGAATGTAAATAGAAAACAACCTGTGGAAAACAATAGACATTCACTGCACATTTCAACTCTTATAACCTTCAACAGGCCACCCTTGGGACGTTTCCATGTGTTTGAATGACAACATATGTCACATGACACACAGGAAATTTCAGTCTGTCACGTGACAGGATTGGCAGTGGCTATGTTAAGTCACTCTTTTATATAAACTAATGATTACAGTAAGTGTAGGATAAGTGCTAATTTTAGCAGGCATAACTATAAAATAAGATGTTTTCTTGTTACATTTGATACGTTGCTTAAATGTGGAACTAATTTTATCTGTATATAACAGATGGATTGTGTTCTTTTGATGGTATTGATGTATAAAATGCCTGTCACATAATGACATAAAAATGAAAGTACTAGAAAATGGTATATATAAAAAAATGTCATGACTGTCCTTGCTGAGAAAATGTGTAACAGCTTAAGGCACAATATGTAGGCTTCTTTCAGAAGTCTTTAAGAAAGAGTGCAAATGCTCCAAAATGTTATTGCTTCTACATTATACATACAGTATAAAATCCTTAAAATTCTCATATTAAAAATATATATCAAGGATGATCTTCATCTCTTAGTATTTCTTTGTATTTTGGTCCTTCTCTACTTCCTTGTAATTTTTCAGTGTGATCCATACATACCATCCATATCCTGGTTTTGGAATCAGATTTTAAAAATGTCTGATTTATTAAAAATAAAAAGTGGCAAATACATCTATTAAAGAATTTCATTAAAGATGTATAGCATACAGAAGCATGATTTGCCTTTATTAAAATGAGCTTTAATAACTCAGTGAGTACAGTGTCTACATTATGGGTTGGATGACAGGAGGACTGTGGTTTGATTCCCAGCGAAGGAGAAGTTTTTTCTTTGTTACCATAGTAGCATAGTTCACCTAGTGTGGGGTGGAGTCCAAGTGGGTCCACTCGGCACGGCAGCCACTGATTGGCCTATTGTACCAGCCCCGGGTGATTATGATGATGGAGAATTTGGTGGAATGAAGGTTGGCAGGGGAAACCGAAGTACTCAGAGAAAACCCGCACCAGCGCCACTTTGTGCATCACAAATCCCACTTGACCAGACATGGAATCGAACCCGGGCTGCCGCAGTGGGAAGCCAGCAACTAACCACTTGAGCTATGACATGGACTAGTAGTGTAGTTGTTTGAGGCACTATGCTACAAGCCAGAAGGTCGCAGGTTCAAGTCTCGATGAGGTTATTGGATTTTTCCAATTGACCTAATCTTTCCAGCCACACTATGGCCCCGTGGTTGTCTCAGCCTCTAACAGAAATGAGTACCAGGAATATTCTTGGGGGTAAAGGGCTGACAACCTTGCCACCATCTATGAGCTGATTGGCTAGAAAATGTGGGAACCTCAACATCTCACAACCCTATGGGCCTCCAAAGCCTGTTACAGGGATACCTTTACAATATCCAGACCAGCTCTGGAGCCTATCCAGACTCCTGCCCAGTAGATACTGTGGCTCTGTCCCCAGGGGAAAAGGAGTTTGGATCAAACCTGACCTTTCACCTCCATCTAGAACTGAAGCTTGAGAAAGAATGGAGCTGTACCACCATTCCTCCATACACCAACATGCAGCAGCAGAAGACTAAAATAAATATACTTTCACAATTTTTCTTTATTTCTGAACATACTGCTTAACTCAGTACAAAACTTAATCAGCATGTGTCTTCCTAATAATACCATTAACATTGTATTTGAATCAGTGAACCCTTACTGGACATGGGATGCACTGTTGTGATGTGTGTATGTGGTCAGCAAGTCTAGTGTCACATTTGTCCATACAAATATTTTTACCCCCAAATTAGCATCCTGCTTTAAGCCTACATCAATAGGATCATTGTATCTTCCTGGCTCTAATTCTGGTACCTCTTAAGTGAATGAAATTAAGAAGCAGCTGAGTGACTAGCATACTCATATATCTGATATAACCTGACTTAATGAAAATTTATAAATCTAAACCACCAATGTATGTGTCTTTTCTCAGATGGCTGTTTCCCACACATCTTGAAACTAACCTAATCCAAACCACCTTAATGCCATCAGCTCCTTCTGGGCACCTGATTATCACACATCTTTACCTAACGTAAATCCAGAACAACCCAAATTCCTGGGTTTCTGGTGCATATGCACCAAACCTTAACTGAACCTAAAATAATCCATGAGTGATACCTCATGAGCTTGTTTCTTCCAGGTTGCACAGTCCACACACATCCTTGTCTTTGCCTGACACATTCTCCAGAACCAGTTCGGTATCTATTGTCGGTACATCATGTGGCGTAATACACATCTCACTTTGAGTTCGCAGCGTTGCACATGTGCTGTTAATTTTAGTGATATATTTTTAGTAATTTCTAGCTCATACAATTCCATTATTGTTTAGTCATCCTTAATTATCTATCCAATTTGTGTGGAGCTTGTAATTTCAGAAACATTTTCTGCACAAGTGTATGGTTGACTGTTCCTATTCATATGTAAGTGATGACTGTGTGTAATAGATGTATTTATTTTCAAGAGATTCCAGTACTTTCCAGTACTTAGTTCACCTTTGCCTAGACTGGGAGCATTTGTTATTTTTGTTTCATTTTGATATTGATATGGATTAAAGTTAGTATATAGTCTTTAAAAACATGTCAGTTTGGAGGTTGTCACCAGTTGTAATGGGGCTAGGCCCAAGTTATGACAAACATACATAAGTCCATTGTATATGGATGTGGTATCACAACATCTTAGTCATGAAATACCCTTGAGGAATTAATTATGGCCCTGGGATCGACTCAGCCTCTAGCAGAAATGAGTACTAGGAATATTCTTGGAATGTTCTTGAGGTAAAGGGTGGGCGGTGCATAAGGCTGACAACCTTGCTGCCATCTCTGAGCCGATTGCCTAGAAAATGTGGGACCTCAGCATCTCACAACCCTATGGACCTCCATGGCCTGTTACAGGGATACCTTTACTTTTACTTACTTTTACTCTTCAGCTTTAGTACAGCTGGAAACATTTGTGGAGTATGCTTTAAATCATACTTAAGTTCCTTGGGAAGGAGAGTAGGCTTGTTGTTAGTGTCTGAATATGTGTAGTAATCTCGTCCCCCTCCATTTTTACTCTTGAATTGGTAGACTGATTTTCATGAAATTTGGTGGGGACATTGTGCCACTGGAAGCCATCCTGTCATAATATGGAATTTCCAATAGCAGTACCAGTGTAGCAAGTGCATGAACTTTTGAGTTGGGTGCAGCACAAGAAAAGGAACCATGTCTAACTGAGCTGCATCTGTTTCAACTCTGAACCAGTAGACTTGATATTCATGAAATCTGGTATGGATGTCATACCATTAAATGCCATCTCAATGTAATTTTTATCTCATGCATTAGGTAATAATAACATAGTGGACCCACAAACTTGTGCAGTTGGAGCAGTACTATCTTCACATATTCCATGGTTCTGAAAATGTATGTGGTGATACATCCATGAGAAATATGCAGCTTGTAATTTTCTTGTAGAATGTAAAATGGCATAGTACCTGCATAAGGGCTATACTTACCTTTTTGTCTGATGGAGTTTGAACCGTGCAACGGTTGTTCTCCGTGAAGTTCCTTGGAGTCCCCCCCCCCCTCGAAACGCCAGGATGCAAGCCGTTCCTCCTTCTTTCCACTTAAAGTCTTAGTTGACGTCAGGTCAGCTGACCTTGTTCCCCCCCCCCCTCCTGGACGCAATGCGAGGTTTCCTGCTTACGCAGAATGAATGCATTGTTCTCTCTCCCCGTTAGCTTCAGCAAGGTAACAGCGCTGCTTCCAAAATTAGTTTCGTTTATGTTGAATTGATCTTGTGAAATTCTGTTTCGGCCTGTGCAGTGTCTGAAGGGGGAAGAGTGCCCTCACGACGTGATCAAGGTTGCATCAAGTTGTGAGGTTAATCTTGTGTTTGTAATTTTGGAAACGCCAGTAAGTGACTTACTGTTGTAGATAGTTTCCTTTTCATCATGACGCCATGTGGCGTAAGTTAATTAATTTGTTTGGAGTTGAGTTGGCTTAAACAGCCGATCGCCCCTCAGGCATGCAAGTAACCTGTGTATATTTTCTTGTGCCCTTAAGGCTTGCCGAAGTACAGGCTTGTGTGCCCTTAAGGCTTGCCGAAGTACAGGTTTTTTTCTAGAGAAATCGAAAGATGCCATGAGGCGTGCCAATACTTGAGTCTGTGCGGCTAGGCACAGAGTAGTTCTGCATCAACTGTCTATTATGTTTTGACCAGTCCCTGCCCATCAGGCAGAGTACACCTGTATACTTATGTTATCAATATATACATTTATTTATATGTTTGGAAACGCCAGTTGTATTTGTGTATACTTGGGTTGTGTATTCCCTACCAGTTCGGACTAGCAGATCCGTCCAGCTTGGCCCATAGTGCCGACAGCGGTTTTCCTCTCCCGAGATCCCCTGCTCGACCTTGGGGAGGCATAGTACATCACGTACAAGCAACGTTCTTATGAGCCTGTCCCTTACCCATATTGAACAGGAGTTCACGGGTCTAAGTGGGTAGGAGAACTGGGTTCTCGACCCACAGGGTCAAGGGACACGGCTCAAGTTAACTAATGAATCACATGTAGTCTGATTTGTTAGATTCACAGATGTGACAATGGTGTGATACATTGAAGTTACATTCAGTAAAAATTTATATAGACAAATCTGTTCTTAACTAAAAAATGTAAAGGTATCCGTGTAACAGGCCATGGGGGCCCATAGGGTTGTGAAATGTCGAGATTCCCACATTTTCTACACAATCAGCTCATAGATGGCGGTAAGGTTGTCAGCCTTACGCGCCGGCCACCCTTTACCCCCAAGAATATTCCTAGTACTCATTTCTGTTAGAGGTTGAGTTGACCCCAGGGTCATAGTGCGGCTGAAAGGATAAGTTACATTGAAAGAAATCCAGTGACCTCATCGGGAGTCGATCCTGCGACCTTCGGCTTATAGCATAGTGCCTCAACCAACTACACTACTGCATGCCCCTGTTCTAAAGTAATATTAGTAACTTATCTACAGCTGCAGTCACATTTTGTCTTGATCAAAATTTAATCTTGTGATCACATATAGATAAATCTGGTGTAGTACAATAGCCCAAGAGTTGAATTAACTTTTACTGTTTGATTATAAATGTAAATTATCTACATTCGTAGCAACACAAAATGTGTAGGGACAAAAGTCAGTGCAGTAAGAAAGTAGGCTCTAAAAATTCTCTTCTGAATCCCGTTTTATTTTCTTTGAAGGAAAGGAGAGAATGCTAGCAAGAACCCTGAAGGCTAGATGGTGGTCCCAACTCTGAAGAGTGTTCCTGAATTTCTCGTGTTCAGTCATTCTTAGTGGTCATATCATTTCTGTCAGTATAACGACTGGCTAGAGCTGGAGAGCCTGGGTTTGATTTCCAGCAGTGTAAGATTTTTCTCTTCTCCACAGAATCCAGATCAACTCTGGGGTACACCTATCCAATGGGTAATGGAGGCTCTTTACTCAGGCGTGTGAAGCGGGAGGGGCATGAGGCTGACCACTCACCTCAATCTAGTGCCCATGTTGAGAAAGATGGAGCTATACCTCCACTCCCACTAATGTGTTCATGGCATGGTGCTTAACTAATTAAGCACAGGGACAGCTTTACCTCTGCCTTGTCATCTGTAAATGACACAATGTGTATTTAATGCAGCTTCAACAAATAAACAATGTCTTGCCTTTCGGCTGTGTGTTCTCTTTAGCAGTGCTGGCCAATCCCAGGGAGTCAAATGGGAAGACATTGACCTGGCTCTCGAGAAGGAGGTGTTTGGTCTCAGCATGTGTGGTTATTGTCTCATTTAGCAAAGCACTTCATGAAGATGCAAGAAGGACACATGGTTTCATCAAGCTCTGTTGTTGTAACTGCAACACCATTCCAATTATCTGCCGAATCTTGTCAGATCTAAGCATGCCCCCTGCGTAAGTACGAGATAGACCAGAGTTTTCCTGGAATCGCCTTGCTAACTAATAATAATAACTAATGAACCGTTAGATTTAGACATGAGAAAGTTGTTCCCATTGGCTTGTCGTAACTCCAGTGTCAGCGTTGTGTCTGCTACATTACTGTTTCCCCCCCCAATTCTGCTCTCTGAAACAGTGAAACCTGTGTACCAAATTACCTGGCATCACATTCAAGAAGGCTATAATCTTAATGTTAATATACTAAGATAGGAATTTATATGCATCGAATCTTCACGGTATGCTTACTTAAGAGTGGTGAATGCTTTGTTTCTATGTGCATGTTACCAAATGACACATTTAATTTAGTTGACATTGTTAACATGATAAATGGGTACTGGATGTGGACAATCAGAGGAAATGTTAAGCTCATATGCAGTTAGCTAGATGTTTCCCCCCTCTGCATGGAATTTTGGAAAATAATCGAAATTGGGAAAAGTGGAAGGAAATATTCACTCACTCATCACTCATGGAGCTGAACTCTTCTTGAGAAACCACCAGTTGTGCAGGTGCTTAAGAATTTCCCAGCATTTTATGGAACCCGAAGATTCAGTGCCATGTTAACAAGGGCCCTCTACTGATACCTTTCCTGAGTCAGATGAATCAAATCCATACCATCCCAGGAAGGAAATATTAATTAAATCAATTTCTTTTTGATGAGTTAAGGAAACAAAGGATATTATTTTTTTTTTATTTGTGTCATTCTGGTCCGTCACACTAACAATTACAAAGACAAAAATAACACCATCTAATGTGACTATTTAAGTTTTATCATTTGAAGACTCATCACCCCTACATGTTTCGATCCCTACAGATCATCCTCAGAGGGCATCAGTACTTTTTCGGAAACTACTATTAGATGTTAATTATATACACATATAATGTCTGAAATGCACAATGTACACAGTGTTCAACCTTTCACATTCACAGCAGCCTTCCTGGTGTTAAAACTTTATTTTTTTAACTTTCTAGTTCAAGCTTAAAATTTATAAACCATACAGGTTCGTGTCAATTCTCCTATTGTTATTCTTGGAGGTGGCTGATCCTGTGCTGCCTGTCTCTCTTGCAAAAGGAGATTCTTAGTATTTCCGTGTTTATTTGTGGCCTGCTGTGTTGTATACACTAAGAATCTCCTTTCACAAGATAGACAGGCGGCACAGGATCAGCCACCTCCAAGAATAATAATAGGAGAATTGACACGAACCTGTATGGTTTACAAATTTTAAGCTTGAACTAGAAAGTTAAAAAAATAAAGTTTTAACACCAGGAAGGCTGCTGTGAATGTGAAAGGTTGAACACTGTGTACATTGTGCATTTCAGACATTATATTTGTGTATAATTAACATCTATTGTAATAGTAGTTTCCGAAAAAGTATTGATGCCCTCTGAGGATGATCCATAGGGATCGAAACATGTAAGTAAGGGTGATGAGTCTTCAAATGATAAAACTTAAATAGTCACATTAGACGGTGTTATTTTTGTCTTTGTAAACAAAGGATATTAATTGTACATAGCATAAATTTTGCTCAGTAAATGAAATGTATAGTGTTTTTGTTGTGTTACTTCATGAGGGATATGCTTATTCCCTTTGACAGCACATTACTATGAAAACCATAAGAGAAAGGTTGAAGATTCACTGAACGTTAGAAAGTTTGTCTGCTGTTCAGAACAGGAGACTTTGAGGTATCTGTGTCTGTCTGTTGGACTAAAGCCAGATGCTGCTGCCAGATCTGTGAGTTATACACTGGCCCATGCATCTGTCTGTAGGAGTCTGGCAACTGCTACTATTCTGATGTGTGAATAAACATCCTTCATCAGTATCGTACTCATTAAAACTAGAAGAATTTATTATATCAACACAAATATACATAAATGATTTTCATTTTGCATTCAGTATTCACATCAACAGCAGTGCTGTTTCCTTTGAAAACAATTATTCTGCTTTGTAGTGTTGTATTTACAGCACACCCTATTGTCTTTGATTAGAATGAACTGGTTATTTTTAGTCTGTTGGCAAAGTGGAAAGAGGAGGCATGTCTTTGATTGGTTTAATCTGTCATCAGTGCATGTTCCACTGAAGGCAGGGCAGTCAGGCAGTAGAATTCTGTTATTGCAGAATGTTTTTCATAGAAGTCAAATAAAGAAAAAAGTAGGTGATGTGTGCTGTAAACAGTTTTAAATGGTGAGAAGTTTGAAGTTTTAGGTAAGAAGTTGAGTGTGTGATTATATGTAATTATGTTGTAATATGCACAGGGACTCTTAGGCACCTTTGTCACTTTTCAAATTAATAAAGAATGTGTGCATGTGTGCAGCACAAAAGAAGTTCTGGGAAGAACTAATCACATATTTTGTGTGATGTATCTTGGACTGCATAGAAAACAATAAAATTGGGGAGGTATACATAGACACAGACAGTAAGGTGATCTCATAAGCCTCCTTTTTATTTTTTCAAAATAAGGAAAGTAGGTAAAAAAATTAATTTTTCAAAATTTTCACCTATTTTTTTATTTGGGTTACGTGTGAAATATATGCTCACTTTCCTTATGGAAAATAGTGAGAAAACTGAAAAGTGTGGTAAAATTATATAAGATTTTAAGCTTTCACAGTGAATAAATATGCTGAAATCTTCTCAGGTAAAATGCCATGTCAATTCTGAGTTAAAAAACAACATTTAAGACATCTTGTTCATCCTCATCATTAGGGTCGATGTGGTGAATGACCATACATCGCTGATATTTATACCAGTTTGTCAAATCGATGCCTCTTTTGAATGGTGTGCTATGGGTAGGAGGGTGGGGTCAAATTATGCAGTCACCCATCTGACTCTAACCTGTCACCATGTTATGTAACCAGTGTTCTTCCTTTCAATCATATTCTCTACCCTTGGATCTTCCCGATTTGTACCTGTTTACTCACTCAATCACTCACCCATGAAGCTCAGCCCTTCCTGAGAAGTTGCCAATTCTACAGGTACTCAAGAAATTCCCATCATTTTATCTAACCCAAAGGTTCATTACTGTGTTCACAAGAGCCTTCCACTGGTCCCTATCCTGAGCCAGATCAATCAAATCCATACCATCCCATCCTATCTCTCTAAGATCCATTTTAATATTGTCCACCCCCCTACATCTTGGTCTTCTAGTGGTCTCTTTCCTTCTGGCTTTCCCACCAATATCCTATATGCATTCCTCTTCTCCCTCCATTCATGCTACATACCCTGCCCATCTCATCCTCCTTGACTTTTTCATTCTAATTATAATTTGAGAAGTGTAAAAATTATGAAGTCCCTCATTATCCATTTTTCTCCAACCTCCTGTCACTTCATCTCTCTTCGGTCCAAATATTCTCCTCAACGCCCTGTTCTCAAACACCCTCAGTCTATGTTCCTTCCTTAATGTTAGAGACCAAGTTTCACACCCATAAAGCACCACAGGCAAAATTATGGTTTAATATGTTATAATTTTTATGTTTTTAGACAGCAGATGATATGACAAAAGGTTCTGAATTGAATGGTAGCAAGCATTACCTGAATTCAGTCTCTTAATTTCCTCCTAAATCAAATTTGTATTTGTTATAATTGTTCCCAAATATCTGAACTGTACCACATTTTCAAAATATGTTTTGTCTGCCTTTATGTCATGATTTTGCCCTGAATTCTGGTGACAAGACAGCAACATATACTTAGTTTTCTCTGCATTTACTTCTAGACCAACCTCCTTACTAGTTACTACTCCTGAAGTTTGTGTGTTTTTCGTTATGCTATCTATATTATCATTCAGCAGATTCACATCAGCATAGACCAACACCTGATGTGTCCCATTTAATTTCAATCCCACCTGATTTACCGGGACCTTCATAATGGTATGTTCTAAAGCAAAGTTGAATAGCACTAGCGATAAAGCATGTCCTTGTTTCAGACCATTCTGGATAGGAAAACTATCAGACAAATGTTTACCTATACAGACTTTACCATATGTTTTGTATTCCAACAGTCTGATACTGGGAGTCAATGACATTCCTTTCTGTTGATATTATTCCCATGTAATTCCATTTCTACTGCCTATAAAGTGACACAGCGATAGGTTAGAGTCAGCTGTATGACTTCACAATTTGACTGCTTCCTCCTACTGTGTGGTATGCCAGTAGGACAAGGCATCAGTTTGACAGACTGGTATGCATTTCAGTGTCATGTGGTCATTCACCACATCAACCCTGATGTTGGTGATGGAGGAAATCTCTGAAACATTATTTTCTAACATAGAATGGACATGGCTAATCAACTGAAAATATATAACTATCCCTGTAACAGACCGTGGAATCTGATAGGGTTGTGAGATGTCAAGACTCCCACATTTTCTGGACCATTGGCTCACACATGACAGTGAGGTTATCAGCCTTATGCGCTGGCTGCCATATACCCCAGGAAGATTCCTCGTACTCATTTCTCTTAGAGACTGAGTTGACCCCAGGGCCCTAATGTGGCTGGAAGGATTAGGTCAATTGAGAAATCCAGTGACCTCATCAGGAATTAAACATGTGACCTTCTGGCTTGTAGCATAGTGCCTCAACCAACTATTCTACCATGTGCCCTGGGACAGAATTATTTTTTTTATCTATCATATGTCATGTCACCAAAATCCTGAAGATTCGAGTATACAAAACAGTGATTTAGTAATTTGTTTTTTATGTTGTGAATTGTGATGTTTTACTTTTTAATACAAGAACATAAATTACAAGAGTTGGCAGAACAAAGTGCTGAGGAAAATATTCAAACATCCAAAGGATTAAGTAAACAAGAAATATAAGGGTAGTACATAATGAGGAACTTCATGATTGAGGTAGGTATGCAGTAGCATAGTTGGTTGAGGCACTATGTTACAAGCTGGAAGGTCGCAGGTTAAAGTCCTGATGAGGTCATTGGATTTTTTCAATTGACCTAATCCTTCCAGCCACACTGTGGCCTTGGGGTCGACTCAGCCTCTAACAAAAATGAGTACCAGGAATATTCTTGGAATATTCTTGGGGGTAAAGGGCGACCAGCAGGTAGGGCTCACAACCTTTCTGCCATCTATGAGCTAATTGTCTAGAAAATGCGGGAACCTCAACATCTCACAGCCCTATGGGCCACCACGGCCTGTTACACGGATACCTTTACTTTACTTACCTGTTTGGATAGTGGTAGAATTTCTGACCATATTCGGGAGGTGTCTGAAATCCTGTCTTGGACACAGACTGTTAAGACTTAAGTTTTTCATGGCTTATCATAGTTTTGCCAGACAAATTCCAGGATAGTACCTCACTACAGTATGATTGCTTTCCTTCCATTTCCTTTCCAGTTTGTCAGTAATTATTCAGTCATCACCATATGGTCTCAGCTAATGATGCTGTCACAAAATAAACCATAAATAAATTTTGAAAAATGGAGGTTTAGATGGGTTGGGAATGTGACTTCATTGGGGAAGACAAGGAATGCATACACAATTTTTTGATGGAAAATGTCCAGTTGGAGTATCAGAGGCTAACATGACAAACACACAGGGTCGTATGGATTAAGTTCATCTCTAATGTACACAGGTCCTCTATCCACTTCTCATCTGGATGTGGCTGTGCATGGTCCTTGCATTACTTTGGTTAGATTAACTTAAATTCCAATTTATTTTAATTAAATGTACACTACATCTGTTTACATATTTTTAATCATCCCTATTCCATTTTACCTTTTTTTTAAACCCTAAATAAATATTATTTATATTCCTGAGATAATGTATGTTAGCACAGTTTATTATTTTTCGGTACACTAATTTTTAACATTAACTTCTGACGATTATAGTAAATGAGTTTCAGATTCTGCAAAGAGTTATTCCTCCATTGAGTCTGTAGTGACACATTTTGGCACTTGGCTGTGTTGCCAAGTGACAAGTATTTTTGTACTCAGCCTAAAAATACTTCGTGTTTTAATGTAATGGATTGTTTGTTACTGCTCATATATAATTTGTGGTACAATGATACAAAAATTTAAGTTCTGTTTTTAAACTTTTGAGTAACTCTGTTGAGTGCAGTACTTTTTGATAAGCTATTAATTACTCAGCTAATTAAATTCCCTGCCTTAGAAGGCATGTTACTATGCTCACAGAAGCCTACCAGTGCACTCTATCCTGAGCCAAAGGAACCCAGTCCACATCCTCACACCCCATTTCTTTAATAGTATCCTCCCGTCAATTCATACGTCTTCCAACTGGTCTCTTTCCTTCTGGTTTAATAACCGTAATTTTGTAGGCATTTTTCATCTTTCCGATGCATGCCATATGTAGCAAATAGATCTTTCAGCTCATTTGATGCTGTATGAATTCTGTCAACTTTGTAAATTTTTAATATTTTGTAACATAGATATTTAAGTACAGAAGTGAACACGCATTTAACTCATTGCATCGGTTAACATTCCTCATATCTGTGAGGTAGTTGGAGAGGTTGTTGATCTTGGAGCTGGCACGAGATCAAGAGGTTCGCAGAAACACTGTGACACATACAGGAGTATGGAAACCTGTAGTGATGCTGGCAGTAAAATTTTATGAGTGTGCGTTCTTCTGAGTAAAAGGAGGCATAAGCTCTAAATATCGACACTGGTGTGTTTCCAGACAAAATAAGTGTGTTCAGTGCAAATTTGTGTGTGTTATTAGCAATGACGTGGTTTGTGACTGCAGTCTGGTACACTGGTGCGGTGTTTTTGCTGATTCTGCTATCATCTTGTGGAGGACAGCAAAGTGAGTTTAGCATTAAGTTTTCTTTTACTCCTCTGTCAGTAGCAGAGACTAACAATTTTGGAAATATTACCATAACTTGTGATGTTTTTGGCATGTGTACTGTAGCCTTACAGAAATGTAGGTCTAATATTTTATCTCCTTAGGTTACATCCATTTCCTTGTATGTCTTCATGGTATAGTCTTTAAATAGTTAAACAGAAAAAAAACTTTACCTTACCTTTTAGATTTTGATCTTTCTCAAAATAGAGGTAAGGTAAAATTGTCCATGTGCTTAATTAGGTAAGCACTGCACCTTGAAAGATGTATGGGGGGTTGGAGATATAGCTCCACCATTCATGACCTCGGCACTAGGTGGAATTGAGTGATCAGGTTCACAGTCCTGGTACCCATTGGATAGGAGGCTGGGTGGGCCCCAGAGCCGGTTTTGACACTGTGGAAGAGACAAAAATCTTGCCCCTGCCAGGAATCGAACGCAGCCAGTTCAGCATATAGCTGGTTACTACACCAATTGAGCTATCCAAACTTCATTTCAAAAAGAAGTGTAGTTTCATTTGTTTCCCTGGCAGTAAAGTGGGCAGAGAATGACACTACTTGCTTCTCCTAGTGATTGAGGTTAAGAAAGACTGTAGGTAGTGGTTTCTGAAGAGTTCTGGCAATGGCATATAACACTCAGAATTACTGGGTTTTTGGACTTTGCCCATCATCAGGTATTCCACAGATGGCACTAGTGGTAGGCAAAAAATTGTTTCATAGCATGAATTTCTCCAGTGAATTTATGCGTAGGTTTTCATGGACTTGATTTGTTGGCTATGTTTGTTGAATAAAATTTGCACCTCCTTTTCCATTGTAGTTTCAGGCCTGTAAATGCTTTATAACAATTTTTATTGTAAATTTTTCCTATAGTCTCCCATTGATAAAGCCTGGTCTCATGCATTTGTATAGCTGTAGTTAGTGTTCTCTAGTTTTTTAGAAAGCTGGGCTATGCACAGAGTAGAAAAGCCCAGTAATTCTGAGAAAACTGGAGCTCCATCTCCACAAGAAGGTTGAGACTCATAGCAGGCCAACCCTTTACCTTTATTTGCATTTGGAGCATAAGATTTATGTGAATATTATGTTAAACATTATACAGACTCTGGAGTATATTTATATGTGCAATATTTAGGATACTAGATTAAGTTCTGTTAAGGGAGGAAAGAATCCTACTCAGTCTAGATCTTTCCATCAGGCCCATCTGAGTAGGATCCTTTCTGCCTTACACCTGATGATTGAAATGGATCCATTTTTCAAAACTTAATTTTTTGTGGTTTATTTTACAGTTTTCTCATTATCTTGGTGTGTGTAGTGTCAAATTGTGGGATGATTACTGAATAATGGTGTTTGAACAAAGCATTTGTGGCCTAATCTGGGTGCTATCCCAGAACTTAGCCTGGAGGGGCTGTTGTAAACCACAAAAATCCTGAGTCAGGATAGCTAGTCTCCTGGCTGGGAATGAACAGGGCACCTCCCAAATATAAGTATAGAGCATTCCCATTCTACCAACACACTCAGTTGCTGGTTTTTTTTAATATGGCTTTACAGCTGCAGGTACTCATATTTTAGTCAGGGTTTGAGGCTAACAGTTTTAGTTCCATCTAGTGCTGAAGATTAAGAAAGACTGGAGCTGTACCTCCACAAGAACGACGAGGTTCATGGTGGAGTGCAATGCCAGTAGTTTATGTTTTAGTTGAAATTGTAACATAAAATAGTGAATGCATAACATTTTTGTTGTAATAGAGACAGTTATTGAAATTTTCAGATGTTGTAGGTTTGCGTAATGCAGTAGAGTCAGCATAGATTAAATAATATTGTAAATGGATGAACTTGTTAGAAATTATTGGCAATTTCACTTACAATCTACATAAATAAAAATGTAACTGTTCGTTTGTTACCAATCTTAAATCTCCGAAAGTTCTTCACCGATTGCTTCGAAATTTTGACACAACGTTGCATTCGAATAAGCGCGTGTTTTTATATACCTATTATATAGATGTCACACCTGTGACAGGTAAAAACATGCTTCTTTTGTAAAACAAAATTGGAATTTGGAATTCAGAAGAGTCAACCCTATGGAAACGCTAGAAGAGACCGTTGCATGGGAAGTAACAATAGCGATACTGTATCGAATCTCCAAGGTTACAATGAATACACGGAGCGTTCCCACAGAGCCAACGCAATAACAATGGGTCGTTGCGTAGGAATTGCGGAATCAACAAAGCAGCGTTTCCGCGGTTATGACAAAGACTCATTTGCATAGCAGCATCCGAGGTTATAAAAGGGGGTTGAATTCATTCAGTCTTAGAATAGCTGCCGCTGAAGAAGTTTGGAACCTAGACGCCAAGAGATACAGAAGTATTGGCCAAAGAATTATGTAACCAGTAACTCTAATACTGCAAGAGGCGATAATTGTAAAGTGTGCAAGTGAATTACAATAAAGATTCGCTATAATTAATACGGCATAAAGTTATTTGTAGCGTGACATACCCAAACACTCTACATGCATTACTGATGCGTGCAACACGTCACATCCACATCAAATTCGTGCATTGTTTGCAATCAAATTGACCACCTGCTCTCCTTCATCTCCAACAGAGTTATGGGAGAAATATAAATCGCACATGGCTGAAGATATCTTCCTTCGAGTGCACAAGGAAAATTCCAATATGAACATGGATTTCACAGCAGAAATCTACAATGAGGCGTTGATAATGATTGAGGATTTGTGCTTAGAAATCGCGAAAAAAGTTCTCAATCAATTGGGAATGCCATCACCGAAACGATCTGCTGCTGCTTCGTTCAATGTAGAATTGCGTCGTGAACAAAATTACAACACGGGTGATCTTTTGTCATATGTGCAATCAGAT